GCCCAGGGAGGCTGTGGCTGCCCCAACCCTGGCAGTGTTCACAGCCAGGTTGGATGAGCCTTGAGCAACCTGCTCTGGTGGGAGGTGTCCCTGCCCAGGGCAGGGGTTGGGGCTGAGTGACCTCTAAGCTCCATTCCAACCCCTTAACAATCCATGAATCCTCCAAGGAAAAGGACTCTCACAGAGTGGTACATGGTAGTCAGCACAGTCTGCTCAGGAATCTGAACTGAGGCTGATTCTTGGAGGTGTTAGACCAGAGGAGAAGGGAACACAACCACTCAGAAATAAAAATCTCTGCAAGAAACATCAGATCTTCAAGTATTACCACATTGTGCTACAAGGACAATGGAGATGGTAAAGTCAGGAAGAACAAAATATGAGCTACAGTAGAAAACTGAGTTGAATTTGCCAAACAAATGATCCTTGACTACTGTGTGCTCCAAAATGTGAAATGATTTCTTACACAATTCAAAATGATGGTCTCATTGCTTTTAAAATTGCTTTGCAAAATGAGATGGCTTGGAAATTGATTTTTAATTTTCTTCTTATTAGAGAAAATGGAGTATTTCTTCTTTATGTTATATTGCTAGAGATGAAACAGAAATTAAATATTGCCTTAAAGATTAATGAATGACACAGATAATTTCCAAATAATACACATACAAAACAGGAAGCTAAAGAGAATCATTAACACTTAGCTACTTGGAGACGAAGGCTGAAATGGTAGCAAAAAACCTTGAGCATTAATTGCAGGACAAAGTGGCATATTTAATTTCTGACTATTATTTTAGTAGCTTTAATTATTACTAAAATGTAGCAACTTTATAACTTACTAGGTCCAATATTAGGGTTGGAGCACCCACTATCTCCCTGGGCAACCTGTGCCAGTGTCTCACCACCCTCACAGGGGAAAGCTTCATCCTAATAATTACTTTAATTTTTTTCCAATTTAGCCCCATTACTCTTTGTCCTGTCCCTGCAGCTCCTAACACAGATCCCTCTGCAGCTTCCCTGGAGCCCCTTCAGACCCTGGAAGGTGCTCTGAGGTCTCCACACAACCTTCTCTTCTCCAGCTGAACAACCTCAACTCTCTCCACAGCAGAGATGCTCCAGTCCTCTTAGCAACTTTGTGGCCTCCTCTGGCCTTGCTCCAACATGATGTTGGGGACATCAGAACTGTGTCCAGCACTCCAGGTGGGGCCAGACAAGAGCAGAGTAGAGGGGGAGAACGATGGGACCATGCCCAGCCCCACAGCCACCCAACCTGCCCATCTGTGGGCACTGCCCCACTCACATCGTGATGTAGAGCATTTCTTTATTTCTGCTCATTTTATTGAATGTCAGACCAGCCTTGCTCTAAAAGTCCATCCACATGTGTGGTATGGTGTTGTAGGTTGTTCTGAGTCCACCCCAAGCAAACCACTGCCCTCTCAGAAGATGGACCCTGTCTTTGAAACTGGATACAGGAGAGTTTTCAGCGTATCTAATAACACAGCGCAGCAATTTTCAGGTGATCTGATGACACACTCCAGCAATTGCTGCCAGGCTGCAGCACAGACTGCAGTGGGAGTTTGATAAATCCCACTGGGTTTCCTTACACCTCATACTCCTCTCAGCACAGAGGGACAAGCCTGTCTTGCATTTTCTCTGCATTTCACACATCCATTTGTCCTTCATGAAGATGAATCCCAACAGCTTTTTCTGCACAGGCTGTTTCTGTCCCATATTAGCCACTGTGAAGAAAGTGAACTCCACTTCAGCCCAAACCAGCACTCTGACCTAAAGCATCCAGACTTGTCTGTGTGACAGCAGTGAAGGAGGACACTGTGCAGTGTGGTCCTGGTCCCACATGTCTAGGGACCTTGCTAGGGACATTAACACCTTGTCCTGGCTCAGCAGAGTGTGGCAG